TGATTTTCCCACATAAATTAACAAGCAAATCCTAAAATTGATATGGAAATACAAGGCATGCCGAGTAGCCAACACAATCTTTAAACAGAAGAACCAAGTTGGAGGACTCACACGTCCCAATTTTAAAACTTACTACAAAGCCACAGTAATCAAGACAGTGTGACAGTGTAGTGGCAGGACAGACATATTAAGCAACTGAACAGAACTGAAAGTCCAGAAATAAACCCTCACCTTTATGGTCAATTTATTTATTTATTTATTTATTTATTTATTTATTTATTTATTTATAAGAAATTGTACTGGGGACCCATCAGCTCCAAGTCAAGTAGTTGTTTCAATCTAGTTGTGGAGGGCGCAGTTCAGCTCCAAGTTCAGTTGCCTTTTTCACTCTGGTTGCAGGGCATGTAGCCCACCATGCCATGTGGGAATCAAACCAGCAGCCTTGTTGTTAAGAGCACACATTCTAACCAACTGAGCCACCTGGCCATCCCTGGTCAATTTATTTTTGACAAGGGTGCCAAGACAACCCAATGGGGGAAATAATCATCTTTTCAACAAATGGTGCTGAAACAATTGGATATCCACAGGCTAAAGGATGACGTGGGGGGCCGGCCGAGTGGCGCGATGGTTAAGAACTGGCTTGGGATTCCAGAGGTCCCCGGTTCGGATCCCACATATGAGGGTCAGTGACACTGCCCTCCACAGCTAAGATGCTGAACAACAGCTCAACCTGGAGCTGGGCTGCCGTGAGTTGCCGGCGACGGCGTAGGCTGCAGCCACTGCTGCAGTGGGGTTGCCATGGGCTACCATGTGTAGCCAGCAGCCAGCGTGAGCGGCCGTCCAGAAGCCGGCGACTGCTCTGCCTCGCCCGGGAAGAGCGCAGTGATGGTGCCAACTTGGGCCAATGAAGCAACGTCCTCCACAACTAGACTGAAGAACAAAAGGACAGCAACTTGTCTGTTTCCCTTTCCCTGATTCCCCAATAAAATCTTTAAAAAAAAAAAAAAAGGATGAAGTTGGACTCCTTTCTTCCTCTATACCCAAAAATTAACTCAAACTGAATCATAGACCTAAATATAAGAGCTAAGACTACAGAACTCTTAGAAGAAAACATAGGGGTAAATCTTTGTGACTTTGGGTTAGGTAATGGTTTCTTAGATATGACATAACCATCACTAGCAACAAAAGAAAAAAATAGATAAATGAGACTTAAAATTTTTTTTGTGCTTCAAAGGACACCATCAAGGAAGTAAAAGGACAGCCCACAGAATGGGGGAAAAATTATAAATTGTATATCTGATAAGGAATTTATATCCAGAATATATAAAGAACTCTGACAACTCATAATCAGAAGATTAAAATAACAAAATTTTAAAATGGGCCAAGGATCTAAACAGGCATTCCTCCAAAGATGGTACACAGCAAACGCATGAAAAGATGTTCAACATCATTAGACACTAAGGAAACGCAAATCAAACCACTATGAGACACCAATTCATACCCATTAGGATGGCTATCATCAAAAAGATAGACAATAACAATTGTTGGCAAAGATGTGGAAAAATTGGAGGAAGTGTAAAATGACGTAGCCACTTTGGAAAACAGTTTGTGAGTTCTTAAAAATGTTAAGCATAGAATGATCATATGGCCCAGCAAATCTCCTCCTAGGTATGTATCTCAGAGAAATGAAAATATATATCCACACAAAAAGTTATACACAAATGTTAACAGCAGTATTATTCATAATAGCCAAAAAGTAGAAACAACCCAAATGTCCATCCATGAATGAATGGATAAACACAAGTGTTCCATCCACACAATGAAATACTATTCAGCAGTAACAAGGAATGAAGGACTGATACATGCTACAACATGGATTAACCTTGAAAACGCTATGCTGTGAAAGAAACCAATCACAAAGGACCAATCAGATATTGTTCACATTTGCAGAGTCCTTTTTGCCATATAAGGTAACATACACAGGTTTCGAGGGTTAGGACTTGGACATCTTTGGGGAGCCATTATTCAGCGTGCCATAGCTAGTGATATTATTAGAATGAAAATAGAATGCAACGATAGAGAAGGCCTAAAATACTACTTCAGGTTGAGTGGTTAGGGAAGGCTTCTCTGAGGCTGCATCTAGGCTGAAATCCAAAGTACGGACAATGCTATGGGGGCAGGGGGGAGAAGATTCTAGACAGAGGGAACAGCTAGTGAAAAACTACAGCAGTAGTGAACTTGGCATGCTAGAGAAGTTCACGCTGCTTGGATTGGAAGAAAGTTAGAGAAAGGTAAATGAGTTTTCAGGTCACATTTTTTTTTTTTTCAGAATAAGAACACTTCAAGTCCCATCCTCTCTTCTAGTATTTTATATGGGGATTTGCCCCAAAACTACTGCTATTGGCAGGGACCTCTCTTGTTACAAAACGTAGAATCCTCACGGACATCCCAGAGCATCCATCAAGGGAGAGGGCCCCTCAGCAGGCCCCACAGTAAGTTCAGAAGAAGGCATCAACCTCATAACAAGAGCCTGTTTGGAGTGTGGCTTTCAAAATCTTACTGATTTTATCACCTGCAATTGTGTCTGATACCTTTTGTTAATATAAACAGGGTTTTTGATGATGTACACTCAACCAGGAGCTGAAAGACGAATGCAGCCTTGGTTGCCTGCCCTGGGGATGTGTGGGGCTGATTTCCAGTGAGGCCAGGCCAGCTCTTCCTCCAGCCCGGGTTCTGGGCAGCTGGAGAGTGGCTGCAGGGCTTTCTCGGCAGGTAAAGAACTGTTAAAGCCAGCAGCTGACTGTTCCTCACCTTCTCCTGAGTCATGCCTAGCTATTGATTCACTCCCCTTGCTCTGAGCATCATGAAGACTCAGAACAACTAAGACTGTGGGTTTTCAAGTTTACATGAAGTCCACAAACATACTTGAAGAACCAAATACAAATGGCCTTTTGAGAGCACTATCTCGACTACAATTTTCATTGCCATCCTCCTTAAATTCTACCTCCTGCACACGTATTAAAGGCTTGGGTCAAGCCCAGTTCACTCTGCACTCCTGCAGCCCCCAGCAGAGTGCGTGGCACAGAGCACACGATCAGTACTCACTTGTTCTTTTGTCCAACAAACATCTGTCAGGCATCCCTGTGCCAAGTACTGAGCTGGGGGCTGAACAGCACTACTCTTAATGTCAGTACCGACCAAGAACTGACCATTCTCAGGCTTCTAAAGGAGCAGAATCATCCTAACCAGGGCGTTATTTCCATAAAGAAGGCTTAAAGATGGCCAAATATCTATTTGAAGATCTGCATACAATTATGAACCTAGTCCTTCGATCGAATTCCAACCTTGGCAATCAAATCAAGCCATCTGAGATACTGGTTTTATGGTAGATTGTTAATCTGTTTCTTCTGGCTTTAAACCACACTACTGAGCTGTAGGTTGTTAAAGGTTAAGCCTCTTCTCTCTTTCCAGTTCCTCTGTTGACTGCCTTGTAGCTGAGATCGAATGACCCCATTCATCAGAAGGCACAGAGGGAAGTTCTCAAAGCTAACGTGCAAAGTCAAGGTGGTGATTTTCAAGTTTAAATGAAAACCAACAGACATACTTGAAGATCCTAGTACGTGACAGTGGTAATTATGAGGCCATGAGTCTATCTCAATATGGCAAAGGAAACCCAACTGGGGAAACTTATGAGCCCAATGCTAGAAATCTGTTAAGAAAGGAGGCAGCTGCTTCCACTGCCTGAAACCTAGGGCTGATGTGTGATTTCCCCCAACGTCCAAGAACACAAAACCTTTGAGTTCCCAAGCATATGTTTTACAGCTTGCAAAACCCGGTAACATTGTCCCAGAGTCCAAATGTTAGTTTCCGTTCTAAGTCCAGCAGCAGCGGCACCCTCTTGGAGTTCCCACCTGGGCCATACAGTGCTTTCTTTGTGTACATTCTCTAGTGAACTTCGTCACAGGAGCAATTTAGAAGCCTCATATTCTACCATCCCATAAAAGATGCTATTGCACCAAGATAGGAGTTTTTTAAAATCAAAATAAAACCTCCTGCCACTCTTGTTGGGTGAATGTCTCAGATGCTAAATGGTGATTCCTGTTGGAAGAAGCCTATTCTGGAGCCTCAGGGTCTAGGCTGGGGCTGGGGCTGGGGTGGAGACATTACAGGGAGTGTCAGGCGCCACTGCATCTTGAACATCTCAACACCTCAGCTCAGCACGGGTTTCTAAATCTAGTAAGGATCTTGTGAATAGCACGGTTAAGTTGCAGAGTTAAAGGTCGTTCTTAACGTAAAGTTTAAGCACATACTGCCATTCCTATAACCAGATCTTGGTATTTATTAATTTATTTTTATACGAGGAGTTTCCCAAACTGCAAGGGACTCTGTTCTTCATCTATGAGAGCCCGTGCCCTGGGGTACTCCATATCTTTGGCGTCAGCGACAGGAGTGCACGGGAAGGGGTCAAGCGGGGAAATGAATGCAACTAGGGTGCGTGGGCCCCTTTGACCGCAGTCCGCAAAAGGAAGGACAGATTGTGGGGAGCGCCCGCTGAGAGCGTGGGTCTGGGAACTCTGGGGCCAGTTCCGTGGGGGACACTAGAGGGCTCTAGACCACAGAGGCCTAACCGCTATCCGTGCGGGCCCTGTCTAAGCAGAACAGCAACTCGAGCTACGGACGCTTTGCGAGGTCCGGTGTCTAGGTCCCTGCATCACCAGGAGCGCCCCGCCGGGAGCAAAGGGGCGCAGGTTGCCCACCACGCCGGTCGCACCTCAGGTGGGGACGCCCCGCCCAGCAGCGCCCAGCTGGCTCAACTCCCTTTGCCCCGCCCACTCGGCCCCTCGGCCCCGCCCACCCGGACCGTCCTGCCCCGCCCACCACGGCTCCGCCTTCCTCGTCCCCGCCCACCCCGCCTCAGGTGGGGCCGCCCCGCCCACCCGGGCTGTGCTCCCGGTGGCTGCCCCGCCCACCCCGGTCCCGCCCACCCGGCAGCCTCAGGTGGGGCCGCCGGCCGGGCCCGCTCGTCCAGCTGGCGTCAGGCCGCGTCTCCGGAGCTCCTCGCGGTCTTCCGCGGCGGCGCTGCAAGTTTGACATTTCGGCGGCGGAGGCGCGCGCCGGCACTCGCGGGCCCACGGCTGTGGTGGCGGCCGACCCTAGCGGGCCCCTCGATCGCGCCCCGGCGCTCCTGCCCAGGATCGGGCGACCACGAGGCCCGGCCGCGTCCTCCCGCGCTCGCCTGCCCGGCTGCTGCAGCCATGTCGAAGGGGCCAGAGGAGGTGAACCGGCTCACCGAGAGCACCTACCGGGTAAGCGGGCCTGGGGCGCCGAGATCCGGGGGGCGCCGGGGTTCGGGGCTCGGGGCTCGAGGCCGCGGAAGCGAGGAGGTCCCGCCGGCGGAAGGTCGGGCTTTTTCAAATCCTTGGAGGTGAGAAGGGGACTTTACGCGGGAATGCCGTCCCCTCCCCCTCCCGGCGCAGGAGACGCCAGACGAGCTGCTTAGTTTACAAACCGCGTATTTGGGGCGAGTTAGAGAAGGGGGGCAGTGCCACTTGGGGGGGCCACGTCCGGCTCTCAACCGCTCCTTGGAGCCCCCGGCCGCGCTGGCGTGGCTGTCGCGCCGAAGCGCCCCGATCCCGGAGCGCAGCGCCCGTGTCCTCTGAGCAGGGACTGCGCCGCGGACGCAGGGGAGGACCCAGGCAGCGAGGGAGCGCCAGGTGCGCCGAGCTCGGCGCCGCGCCTCCGGGGGGCGCCCTCGGCCCCGGGACTCCGCTGGGCGGCGGGTCTGCTCCCAGGAAGGCTTGCAACCCGCTGCCTCTGACCCCCTTCTCTCTCACGCAGCGTTAAGTTCAGCTTGGCTTTTATCCATCGATTATTTTGTGAGGTTGAGTGAAAGAATACCCGAGGTTTTCGTAAAATTGACCCGACCTTACGGAATGGCGTTGATGGTCATTCTCTTAACTTGCATTTATTATGGGAGAATTTTTCCAGAAACAGACGTAGACTTAGGATTAGTGGTCAGTTTAGTAAGTTTAAGTACTTATAAATGAATTCCAGTTGAAATAAGATACGTGTTTAATCATCTGCTATTAATAGAATACAAAACAACTTTTGTTTTAATTCAGCTTAGGCTCATGGAACCCCTGAGACTTTCAAGTTCTCCAAATTCATTTGTAGTCATTTGTAAGGCCCGCAATGTGGTCATTTTCATAGATTTTTTTTT